TGGCATGTTCCCCAGACAGTGTAGATGGTTAAACAGCTGCTACCTCAGTGACAGAACTTGAGGATCAGAAAATGCTTTATCGTTCTACTAATTGAAGCCAGTGTTTAAGAGATCTAATTCTCTTGTCTCACAGACGCTTCACGTGTTGGCTTTTGTTTTAAGTGTTTGGTGGATTTATGGTGGTAGCTAGGACATTTAAACACCTTTTCATATTTATTGACCATTTGTACTCTTGTAGTGAACTGTCTTTCAGGCTGGCCTTGAATTTGTGATCCTCCACCTCAGCCTTTGGAATAGCAAGGATTTAGTACCTGGACCCCTTTTTTTAAAAAAAAATTTGGAGCTGTCTTTTACATTATTATTGTAAGGAATTTTCTCATGTATTCTGCATATCGGTCATTTATCAGAAATATTTAATACCTTTTCTTGTGTTACAGCTTGTATTTTCAGACCTATACAGGTGTTTTTTGAAACGGGAATTTTTTGCTTTTACTTTTTTTTTTTTTTTTTTTTGAGACAGGATCTTACTATGTAATTCAGGCTAGCCTTGAACTCACTCTGTATCCCAGGCTGTCCCTGGTCATCTTCCTGCCTCAGCTTCCCACATGCTGGGATCACAGGCATGCACTGCTATGTCTGGCTTTGGAACAGATTTTTAATACAGAGCAGAGATGTTTGAATACAAGGCCAGATAGTCAATACTTTGTGATTTTGTGTGATCTTTCTTGGTTTCTTGGATATAGTCATTCTCCATGCTTTTGTTTATCTCTTCATATCCTTTTGTTGTAATTTTTTTTAACTTTGGGTTTTTTTTTTTTTTTCTTTTTATTGAGTTTATTGGTACAATCTAGGTATACAATACAGTTACATTCATTACTGGGATCCTGTGCCTTCACATGACAGGTCTTGGTTCTCATTTTTTACCCTTGTGTTGTAATTTTGAGACAAGGTTTTGCTGTGTAGTTCAGGCTGGCCTTGAAGTTACAGCAATCCTCTTGCCTTAGCTTTCCAAGTGCTAGGATTATAGGTGTGTGTCACTACACCTGGCTTTCATATCCATATTGTGGTACATTCATTATTAATAAATCTGAACACATCACTGTAAATACATACATACTCTACTGGCAGACACACTCCTCTTGAGCAGTCGTTAGCACTGACTGTGTGTTCGTGAAGTCAGTGTCACCAGATGAGGCCTATTTTGTTTGTTGGTAGTATGCTAGTCATTGAAAAGATGAATTTTCAAGTTCATTACAAGGCTGTTCTAGGTGTGCAGTCAGGAGCCCAAGTGTCCAGTCTGCCTCCCTAAGAATAAGCTTTGAGATGCTGGAGGTGAAGACACAGGGCAAGGTAAGGCATGGGGAGTTGAAGGAACGGCAGTCTGCACGTGTGTGTCCAACTTCATGGCCCTTCACAGGGTGCATGTTCAGGAAGTGACTATTGGTGTGTGTGGTTGAAGGACGGATCCCCTGCTCTCTGACATCACAAGGTCATCCTGCGGACACCCACTCTGGCCAAGGGGAACGGGAGTGGTGTGAACAGAGTAATTCCAAGTTCCTGAATGGTGGCTTAGGCAGCTGTTAGCTCTGGTGACCTGGGTGTCAGAGGTGTTGCATGTCACAAAGCCAGTGGGAATGTGCTGCTTAGCTACCTGATCTGTAAACTTGGTGATGAAAGCAAGTGACTGAAAGAGACAAGCAGAGGGTTTATTCAGGATTTCCTTTGGTTTCAAAAGGAATAAAGAGATAAAGACACTGGCACAAACTGAAAGTAATAGCAAATTTCTCTGTAGTCTCATTCAGTTAAGCACAATTTTCAATTGACTACATAGATAGGAAGAGACCACGGGCACACACCCGCGAGAACAGGAGTAAGCTTCCAGTTCAGCCGCCAAATCCGAGTGCAAAGCCTGCTCTTGAGAACAGTTAGCTCACAGTGCTGGGGCAGTGGCCCAAGCTGTCCTGACCCCACGCGCTCTGCCTGGGGTGCACCTGCTGCCACACTCAGACACATCGCTGCACTGACCCCGGAAAGCGCGAGTTTTGCTGCCCTGTTGCCCTCTTGTTCTCAGGTTTTCCATTGCTACTCAGAAGAAAGTACTGCAGCACTCTGCTTCTCCGCCAGGGGAAGTGTAAGGACCTGTGCTCTTTTCACATTCCAGCCACGCAGTGAGTGTGAGGCCGGGTCTCTGGCAGCTGCAGGCTGGTAGATAAGATGGGTCCCAGCGGGGACAGCCCGTGCCCGTGGGTGTCCAGCTTTTCATTCCCCGACTCTGTCCTGTCACTCTCACCTTTTATCGGGCTGATTCACAGCCTATTCTGAGGACTGTCTCTAGTTCCAGATCTCTTTCTTCCATCAAGTTCCAAGAATCCTTGATTCATGGAGAACATTCAGGTTTTTTTGAGACAGGGTCTTGCTGTAAAGTCTAGAATGGCCTTAAACTCATAGGCTGGCTAGTTAGCCTTGAACTGAAGGCAGTCTTCCTGCCTCAGCCTATCAGGTGCTGGGATTGTATGTGTGTGCCCCACGCCTAGCTGGAGAATATTCTGTTTTTTAAAAAATTCTGCCCCATGTTTGTTTGTCTTTGTTTGTTTGTTTGAGATGGAGCCTTGCTGTGTTGCTGAGGCTGGTCTTTTTTGAACTTCTACCTTAGCTTCACAGAGTGCTAGGATCATAGGTGGGCTTGAGTTTGTAATTCTTTTGCCTCAGCCTCCCAGCATACTGGGGTTATATAGATGTGTGCCAGCATGCTGTGCTCACTTTTATTATATTTGAGCAAGAATCTTGGTGATACCCAGTCTAGCCCTGAATTTGCATCTTCATACTCCTGGGTAGTTGTGTTTATAGACGTGTGCCAAGATGCTTGGCTTTGCTTGAAATTTTTTAAATGTACAGTTTGGGGTATCAGTACATTCATTTTGTTATACAACCTCCATCCCTACTCATCTCTAGACTGTTTTTGTCCTTCCACACCGAAGTCCTGTGCTCACTGAACAGTAACTTCATTTTTCCCTTCTATCTCCTGGCATCTACCATTGTGAATGTTGCCTCTCTTAGCGCTTGTACCATGTTTGTTTGTTTGTTTGTTTGAGACGGTCTCACTATGTAGTTGAGATTGACCTGGAACTCACTGTGTAGCCCAGGCTGGTCTCAAACTCCCAGCAATCCTCCTGCCTCAGCCTCCTAATTGCTGAGATTACAGGTATGCACCACCATGCCTGGCTGTACCATGTTATTCTTTTCAGTCTACCATTCTGTACGTTTTAAAGAAAAAAAATTCATGACAGGCTTTTTTTTTTCTTCTAGTAGTGGGGCTTGAACTCAGGACCTTGTACTTGTGAGGCAGGCATGGTGTCCCTGATCTAAATCCCCAGCCCTATGACAGGCTTCCAAAAACATTAAAGTTCTGGTTTTAGTGGGCATTAAAATATTACTAACAAAGCTCAGTTACAACCTTTCTATAACCTAAGTAAGGTATCAAAAAGAGGAAAAATCGTCAGGCGTGGTGGTGCACTCCCGTAATCCCATCCCTTGGGAGGCTGAGACAGGAGATTGTGAGTTTAAGGACTGCCTGTGCTAACGTAAAAAGAGCCTGTCTGTCTCAAAACCTCAAAATCTACTGGTGTACTAATATTTTTTTTATTCCAAAGAAAAACCATTGTTAGAAATTGTGTATACGCATGTTGAGTACTATATTGTTTCTGTGGTGTGAGAAACCCAAAGTGTAAATAAGGACCAAAATGTATGTAAATACTGGGAAATGGGAAGAAAGTGTTCAAATGAGATGGGACAAGGGAGGAGGGAAGGGAAAGGGAAGGAAAGAAGGGACAGGGAGAAGAAAAGAGAATAGAAGGGGAAATGTAAACAAAGTTGTTTTTTTTAACGAGGGGAGGAGTCAAAGGGAGGGGAAGGGAATGGGAAAAGGTGAAGCAAGATATATCATGTACATGAACAAATTCCCTGCGATGTTACTGTGTGTGTGTATATATTTTTGTTATTATGTACATCTAAAATGTACCGGTGAAAAAATTGTGTATAACTGGAATTTTATATTTAAAGTGTATTTTTTAAAATTTACCAATGGGATTTATAGTAAGTCACTGTTGTGTGTGTTAGTATTTCTGTTAGAAACAGTTTTGGGCCGGGGATTTAGCCTCGCAAGCACAAGGACACAACAAGTTAAGAAACAGTTTCTTGTCTTTTTTTCTTTCTGGTACTGAAGAGTAAATCAAGGCTATGTGCATGCTAGGCAAGCTGTGTACCTCTGGAGTATAATATCCCTACCCTTTAAGATTTTTTGTTTTAAATTTTGGTTTTTTGAGACAAGGTCTCTCTGTAGCACAGGCTGTCCTTGAATTCTCAGCAGTCTTTCACCTCCCCCTCTACCTCAGCCCCCCAAGTGCTGAGGTTACAATGTACCATGTCCATTGTGTGTTTTAATTTTGAGACAGAGTCTTGCTGAGTTGCCTGTGCTGGCTTCAATCCTTCTGTCTCAGTTTCTTTAGTAGCTGTGATTGCACATTTGGGCTACCGGGACCAGTCTGTGTATTTTTTAACTGATGCTTTTCAAGACTGTTTATTCAAAAAGTAGTCATGTCAGTACAGTTTATTTTTTCAAGCAGTTTAAAAGGAAATAATTGTTACACATTTTTAGAAACATTTCTTCATATCTCTTTAAGAGATGGGTATGGTGCATGCCTGTAAAACAAGAACTCCAGGAGGTTGAGGCAGGAGGATTGGAAGTTCAAGAACAATCTGGGCAGTTTAGCAAGTAAGCAAGACCTTGTCTCTCTTTGAGAAAGTGGGGGTGGTGGAGAAGAGGTGTGTGGAACTAAGCTCAGAGGCCCTGGTTTAGTCCCTACTGCTGCAAAAAAACAAAGTTTTTAGAGAGGTTATTAAGCTAGCAGTCATTAGTGTCTTTGATTTATAAAATTTAGAATTCCGATGTGTCATTTTGTCAGCATTTTTCTTTCCTCACATGTACTCTGTATCATTTTTAGGCAAAGTGTTTCATGGACTTCAAAGCTGGAGGCACCTTGTGTCACATTCTTGGGTCTGCTTACAAGTATAAAAACGAACAGGGGTGGTAAGTTTGTATATGTAAGTGTTTTCGTGTGAAGTCATGTTCTTTTGTATGGCATTAGAGAATTCTGTAAGCATAGTACGATTGAGTACAAGGTAAGTTATGTTTTATCAAGAGTCCTGACCTACTTTATTCTACATACAATATCAAACAACTATTACATTTGATTGACAAAAGTTTGGGCATTTTTTGTTTGTTTTTGGTGCTGGAAAATGGACCCAGACCCTGGTGCAGACTTAAAACACACTTACATTGACTTTCTCAGATTCCACAGCTGGTTCCACAGTGCAGTGGTTGTCCTGCTGTGCCTGACTTAATTCACTTGTTATGACACCTCTACGTTCATCCTTGTGACAAATGATAGGATCTTGTTCTTATAGCCAAATAGTACTTCATTTTGTGTGTGTGACATTTATCTGTTTCCCTGTTGGTGGTGGTGCAGGTTTGAGCTTGGACTCCAGTTGGGCTTGGATAGTATGCACAGAGCCTTGGGTTCTATCCTCAGTACGAAGACTCAAAAGAAAGTATTGGATAAACATGATAGGGCAGGGCTGGGGATTTGGCTCAGTGATGCTGCCGCCTGCCTTGCAAGCTTGAGGACCTGAGTTATATCCCCAGTAACCCCCCTCAAAAAAAAAGATTGGGCAAATGTCTGAGTATATAACCATTAATGGGATTGGTAGATCACATAATACTTCTATTTATTTATATATTTCATCTATACTTCTCTTGGGTGGTCATACTAGAAACAGCCTAGCACTTCGAGTGAGCTACATCCCTAGCACTTCCTATAATTTTTTGAGACAGTATCAGTAGCTGCTGAGTTGCCCAGCTGGCCTCAAACTTGGCCGTCCTCCTGCCTCAACCTCCCATAGTGCTAGGATTGCAGGTGTACACCACCATGCTTGGCTATAAAGAATGTGCAAAAGACTTGAATACACATGCTCAATAGCTATATGAAAAAAACACTCAGCAGCCTGAAGTATCAGAGAGATGCAAGTCAAATCTATAATGAGATATCCCCTTTTCTCTAGCCAGGAGTACTTAGCAAAAAGGACAGTCTGCCTGGATTTGGTTTGGGGATTGTGCTAGAGTTAGGGTGGTTTTTTGTTTGTTTGTTTTTGGTTCCGGGGATCGAATTCAGGACCTTGCACTTGTGAGGCAGGCAGCAGAACCACTGAGCTAAATCCTGGGCCTTATGCTAGGGTTAGAACCCAGGGCCTGGTACATGCAAGCAGTTGCTCTGCCATGGTGGTACATGCCTGATACATTTTACCTACTTTGAAATAAGTGCTATGTTCGTTTGCTTTTAAGGTCTTTTATGATTCTGGAATTTTTTGTTTGATTTGTTTTTTTGAGATAGGGTCTTGCTCTGTAATTCAGGCTCACTATGGCACCTAAACTCATGGCAATTCCCCGGCCATAGCCTTAAGTGCTGGGATTTTAGGCATGCGCCGCCAGGCCTAGCAAGATTCTGCATATTAACCCCTTAACTGATGTAGTGTTTGCAGATGTTTTCTCCCATTCTATAGGTTGTTTCTTAACTGTATTGATTGTCCTTTTGCTGTACAGAAGCTTTTTAGCTTGATGTAATTTGGTTAGTTTACTGCTTTTATTGTTTTTGAACAAGCAGAGTGGTTTTGATGTTTATAGGTCCATATAGCTCATGGAGAGATTACTTACAACCAAGTTCACAGATGATGCCCCTCCACCCCCAACTGGGGATTGAACTCTGGACCTTGCATTTGCAAGGCAGGTGTGGGGCCACTAAGCTAAATCCCCAGCTACTCACAACCAAGTGCAATAAAATAACAGAAGTAAATGTCAGTGCCTGCACATCAAGTTTTTGGATATTTTTTGGTCATTCTTACAGTTCTAAACATAGTCCTGTGTGTTGTGATCATATTTTATACCCTTCAAAGAGATTATTGAATAAGAACATTTTGTTTTTCCTATTTTTGCTTGGCTGTGAGAAATTAGGCCCAGGGAATAGAAGTTTAGATGTTTTCCTGATGTGGCAGGAAATACTATTTGCTGCTGATGTTTATTTCTTTTTTCTTTTTTTGGTGCCGAGGATCAAACTCAGGTCCTTCTGCTTGTGAGGCAGGCCACCGAACCGCTGAGCTAAATCCCCACCCCTGATGTTTATTTCTTACAGAGGAATGTTTCTAGTTACTGCTTCCCCCAGAAAAATTGGATTTAAAGAAAAGTTCATGTACAAGGTCAAGACAGGGCTACTGGGGACAGAGATCCCTCTTATTTATTAATCCTCCTTCCTCATTTTGCTTTTTGCAGTACTGGGGATTGAACTCAGCACTTTTGCCTTGAGCTACATCCCCAGCCCCTTGTTACTTTAGTTTGAGACAGTGTCTTGCTAAGTTTCCTGGGCTGAGCTTGAATTTAGCTGCCCTGTTACTTCAGCCTCCCAGATTCCAGATGTGTGCCTGCCTCTTGCCCTGCTTTTTCTTCTTAAATTTTACTTTGTGAGATCCTTTAAGAGTTGCTGTTTAAGCTTGTGGTTGAAGTCTCTTTAATATCTGGGATAATAGGTGTGTGTTTGTTTAGTTTCTTTTTTTCTTTTGGTACTGGGGATTGAACTTTGGACCTCGGGCTTGCCAGGCAGATGCTGTGCCATTGAGCTACATTTCCGTCTGCTTAGTTTTTTAGTTGTAGTTACTTTAGGAAACATTTCAGTCTTGCCCTAGCACAGTGCCTTAATCATAATGAATAATTTATTTAGAAGTTGTTTTTTTGTTTTGTTTTGTTTTTTCTTTTCTTTTTGGTACTGGGGATCAAACTGAGGACCTTGTGCTTGTGAGGCAGGCACAGTGCCACTGAGCTAAATCCCTGGCCCACTATTTCAGGTTTTTTTGAGACAGGGTCTTGCTTTGTAATTCAGGCTGGCCTGCTCAGCCTCCCAAGTGCTGGGGTTACAGGTGTGCACCACCGCAGGCTTTGTTATGAACATGAAGGAAGATGGAAATCACTTCACAGAGGAAGCGACTTGTGGACAGCCTCTGAAAGCGATAATGTCCAGTTCACTGAGTGGGTGGTGACATTTGGAAAAGCTACAGGATTTAGAAAGAATGGTTTGAGATGCGGAGAACATCTCCAGGATATACATCAAGGTAGCAGGTTAAGAGTATAAGCTCTGGGATTTAGCTAGTACATGGTAATGTTTAAAAATTAAAGCCAAGGGCTGGGGATACAACTCCACAGTAGTGTGTCGCCTAGCATGTGTGAGACTCTGGGGGTGAGGTTCCTAGCAGCTTCTCCTGACTTTCAAACTTGCTCATCTACTATGTATGAAGCAGATACACTGTGCCACACTGTACCATAAATACCTCATTTAACCGTCAGAAAATGCCATAGTCGTGAAATTGGTAGTGGGACCAGTAAATTGTTGAAGATTAAATACATAGTGGTGTCAGAGTTAGTTCCCAGAAAGTGTGGGGCCCCAGCGTCATTCTTAGTCCTTGAGCTCTGTTCCTCTCCCCAGAGTATTTGTGTTAAAAGAATTAAAGTGTGGAAAATGCAAGTAGGTGTTGAGTAAAGTATATGGAGGATGAGTCATAAGACTTTGTAAACAGTAAACTGTCTGGAAATGGCTAGGAATAGGTTAAGCCAACACCAGAATATTAGATGAGGGTGTTAACAGAAAGAAATAATGGGGAAAGACTTTACCAAGGAATCATTAACAGAGGTATTTTACCACATTGAGAAAAGGAAAAAATGGAAACAAAGTTTTTGTAAATAGGGAAGTGTGGAGGGGGTGAAGGGAGGGCAGGAGTATGGGGAAAAAATGGAACCAAGATCTGTCATATAAAGGTACAAGATCCAAATGATAAATGTAACTGTACTGTATACCTTAAAAATACCAATAAACTCAATGAGAAAATAAAAAAAGAGGAAAGTAGCAGGCTCAAAGATCAGTTTTTCCAAGAAGGTTGACATTAAGACCAAAAGTGTGGCAAGGATTTATAAGCTACCTAAGGATAAGTAGAATCTTGTGATAAGGTAGAGGATGAGAAATACTGGGGATTTAAGATGTTGGTGGTGCAGCTGTCCATACAGTCCTTGTTCCCAGTTGAAACCGCATAATCCTGATCCTCAGCAGCTGCATTTCTGTCAGTCTTCTGGTCCTCTGGGCGCTGACCACAACATCCCATCAAGTTCAGCTCACAGCATTCCAGGGCTGCTTCTCCAGCTAGCATCTTCCAGAACATTCCAAACTTTCCACAAGCGAGTTCCAAAGGCTTCTGAAGCACATGGCCAGATAGCAATAACTCTACTTCTGTGATGCCAATATCTGCCTGGTTACTTTTCTCATTGAGGAAACAAAATACCCAACACCCACAAATTAAAGGAGGAAAGGTTTGTGAAGGTTTCAGTTCACAGTTTGTAGAGGTTTCAGTCCATAGTCTGCTGGGTCCATGGTCTTCTGGCTCCAAAGCAGGTCAAGCAGGAGGCAGGGAATCTTTTTTTCCCCCCATTCAGGCTACATGCCTGTTGGTGGGCCACTTGTATCTAGGGTGGATCTTCTGTCTTTAGTAAAGCCATTCATCCACACCCGGAACTGTGCTAAACCAGTGGGGGGACTAATCCAGTTACCACACACTCATCATTAGTATCACACTCCCATGATCCAGCCACTCCTAAAAGCCCCACCTATGCGTGGATGAGGTTTTAGGCAAGCATAAGCCATAATGGGTAAGTTACCTTTAATTGATGCTTAAGGGTTTGAAGTATCCCTTTCCCTCACAAAATCACACTGACTAAGATAATCTCTACTCTAGAACATTGTTGTGGTCAGTCGGTCAGTTTATTTGAATCCATCTTGTTTCGTTTTTTTTGGTGGTACTGGCAGTTGAACCCAGGGCCCTGTGCATTGCTAGGCAAGCACTCTACCAGAGCTAAATCCCCCCAGCCTCTTGTGTGTTTTTTTTTTGCTAAATCCCCAGCCTCTTGTCTGTTTTTTTTTCTTGGTACCAGTGATTGAACTCGGGTCCTTGCGCTTATAAGGCAGGCCACTGAACCGCTGAGCTAAATCCCCAGCCCTTCTTGTCTAAGTAATATATTTTACAGCCATCAGGATTAAGTATCAAAGATATTTTTCTTTGTCTAAGAGAACACAGACATAGTTAAATTTTGAGCAAAAGACTTTTAAGCGTATATAAAGTAGATGAAACTGTACTTAAAGGAATCTTTGCCTTTGGATTTGTCAGCTATTTTTCTTTTGGGTAGGATGTAAAATGTTTTAAGACTTTTTTTTTTTTTGGTACTGGGCATCGAACTTGGGACCTTGTGCTTGCAAGGCAGGCGCCAGAACCGCTGATCTAAATCCCCAGCCAAATGTATTAAGATTTTAAAGGGGTGGCCTGCTTTGCAAGCACAAGGACCTGAGTTCAATCCCCAGTACCAAAAAAAAAATACGTATATATATATTTTAAAGAAAGGGTTCTTTATGGAATTTATATTCCATTTTGAGTGATGCTGTATTCTTATACTTAGAAGAGAAACATTGATACATTTTGCTAGTGTGCTGTTTTAACTTCCAAGTCTTTATAATTCATTTGCATTAAATTTTGAAATCATATTTTCAACTATTTAAGGCAGGAGATAAACTTATGAATGATTTTTCTTCTCTTGTAGGCGGAGATTTGATTTACAGAATCCATCCAGAATGGATCGTAATGTTGAAATGTTTATGAACATTGAAAAAACCTTGGTGCAGGTAACTATGAAAGATTATTAAAAAATTTTTAAATGTATTTTCAGTTATTTTATTGAATTGCAAAAGGCCAAAGGAAACATTTTTCTGAAATGTGCTATTTTATTATCTTTATGATATTTGAAGGATTATAGCTGATGAATGATCTTGTCACTTAGAGACTATCAGTCTTAAATTTCTGGTGGAGTAATCTATGATATCATTATTCCACCCTACCATTATTCATCACCTTTATTTCATTTAATATAAATGCGGTTTCATCCAATGATCACTTTACTTTGCTGTCATTTTCTTTGTTACATAGTTGTACCGTAAGAGTAGATCTTGCTTTGCTAACTGAATTATAATCTGGGATGAGAGAATGCCTAATTGTTTTTGTTGTGTCTCCTGGTTTTTGTTTTGTGGTACTGGGGTTCAAGTCCCAGCACATGCTTGGCAGGCATTCTACCTGCTACACTGAGCTACATCCTTAGCTCAATTTCTTCATAGTTTTTATTGACTCGCAGTTTTCAGTGATCACTGTATTAAATTTCTGTTGAAAAATAATTGGCAAAAATTACTTTATGAATGTCATTTGTCTGCAGACTTTTAGCTTTGGAAATAATTGGCTGTGTTTTGTTTGTTGGTTGAATTTTGGTCATAATGTAACAAGTTAAAATACATGTTCACTGCTGTTTTAATATTAGAAATTAGAAGAAAGCTGTAATTTCCTCCTAAGTCAAAAATGCAACTGAATGTACTTCATTAAACTCTTAGGGTAAATTTAGATAAGATTGACTGGGAGGATTAATTTGGCAATATGGTTGCTACCTTAATGAAAAACTTGCTGAATTTCTTTAGATCAGGATGCTTAACATTTTCTGCCCTGTTTCAGTCAACAGCCGAGAAGGATTTTAAGTGGCCTGCTAAGTTACCTATATTTTATTTTAACGTTCCATATCAGGTTGCATCTGCCCAATTTAAGAACTATGAATTTGCACTCAACTTGTGCTGTTAGGGGAAGGAATAAATAATGTTACATAATTTAAGAAACTGGAATTTCAAAGTCTGTTCTTTATTCCTCAGAACAATTGTCTGACCAGACCTAACATCTACCTCATTCCAGACATTGATCTGAAGTTGGCTAACAAATTGAAAGATATCATCAAACGACATCAGGTAATACATAAACTTGCTGGAGAACGACTGCCTTGCTAAGTCTGTAAGAAATGTCAGTCACAGTTTCTTTGGATTTCTGTGTCTGCATTTAATGATGGCTTCCTCTCTGTGTTCTTAGAGTACCTTTTTTTTTTTAACATGGATTTTTTTGTTTGCTTGATACTGGGGATCGAACTCAGGACCTTGTGCTTACTAGGCATTTGGCAGCACCTCTGAGCTAAATCCCAGTTTTTAATGTACAATAGAGTTTAATAAAGGTGCTGGATAATAAAGTTACTGTAGTATTGTAAAGTATGCTTGTGTAGTTAAGAAGACAAGTATATTCTATCACAGATCTAAATCACAGAGATCACAAAGTCACAAGATATAGTTGGTGACACATGTATTACTAGGAGGAGGTAAACTATAGTTTGAGTAAACACATCCCTCCTCTCATTCAGTCATATGTATTCTATTTATGTTTTTTATTTTAATTCAATTTTTAATTATTTTGTGTGTGTGTGTGTGGCATCTGGGACCTAAGCATGCTAGGCAAGTGCTCTATTATTGAGCTACATCCCTAGCCCATTTATTTGGTGGTTTTTCTTTTTCAGACAGAATCTTGGCTATGTTGCAAAGGCTGGGCTTGAATTTGCAATCTTTCTGTGTCAATTTCCTAAATAACTGGGATTATAGCTGTGCTTGGTGGCGCACACCTGTAATCCCAGCACTTGAGAGGCTGAGTCAGGAGGGTTACTGTGGGTTCAAGACCAGTCTGGGCTACATAGTGAGTCCAAGTCAGTCTCAACTACATAGTGAAACGCTGTCTTAAAAAACAGAAAAGGAACTGGGATTATAGGCATGCAACACCACACTGGGCTGGAAAGCAGAGTTTATTTTGGGGGGGGGTGTTTTGAGGCAGGGTCTCACTCTGTAGCCCAGGCTGGTCTCGAACTCACAGCGATCCTCCTGCCTCAGCTTTCCCATTGCTGAGATTACAGGCGAGCACCACCAAACCTGGCCGAAAAGCAGAGTTTTTAAGTCATTTTTGTTTCTTTGTTTGTTTTTTGGCATCGGGGATTGAACTTGGGACCTCGTGTTAGCGAGGCAGGCGACTGCACCACTGAGCTAAATCCCTGGTCCTTCAAGTCATGTTTTAAAGAAATATATATATATATAGCTGGGCATGGTAGCATATGCTTGTAATCCCAGCACTTAGGAGGCTGAGGCAGGAGGATTTGCCATGAGTTCATGGCCAGCCTGAACTACGTGTCTCAAAAAAAGAAAGAAAGAAGAACACATATGTAAATAGAATAAAAAGCTGGGCATGGTCGCTTAGACCTATAATCCCAGCAGTCTGAGAGGGTGAGGCAGAAGGATTGAAAGTTTGAAGCCAACCTGGGCAACTTAGTGAGACTGTATCTCAAAATGAAGAAGGGTTGGGGAATGTAACTCAATGTGAAAGCCCTGGATTCAATCCTCAGTAACACAAATAATGTAAAAAAATTAAAATCTTTTTTTCATAAGCTTATATTTTGATTCATTTAGAGCTGTTTTCTGATACTTCCTCTGTCTTTGTTGAATGGTGAGATGTTGGATATTTATTGCACATATGTCTATAGTTAATGACATATGACTAAACTAATAAAACTCAATATGGTGAGCTAGTAGAGAACACTTTAGGTAAAAAAAATTTTATTTTCTCTTCTTTTTTTTTTTTTGAGACAGGATTTCACTGTGTAGTGCACGTTGGCTCTGAACTCACTCTATAGACCAGGCTGGCCTTGAACCTGTGACGATCCACTTGCCTCATCCTCCTAAGTACTAGGATTGCAAGTGTGTGCCACAATGCTTGGCTCTAGAAAATTTTTTTTTATTTATTTTTTTGATACTGGGGACCAAACTTGGGCCCTTGCACTTGTGAGGCAGATGCTGGAACCACTGAGCTAAATCCCCGGCCCTAGAAGATAATTTCTTGAAAGATCATTCCTGTGACAGTTCTTCTGATTCCTAAGATTGGTTGAGAAATCTCATGAAAGTTTTATTTTTTTCTGCTGCACGAGAGATTGCTGGTTAAAATGTTGTAGCATTTAGTAAATATCTTGTTTGTTCTGAAAGCAAAAGCTTCAAAGATCACAATTATAGATCTTGTATCATTTTTGTCTTATATTTGACATCCCTGTCAACAGCCCAGATGGGTAGTATAATTATGCTGTCTGATGGGGCAGTGTGAAGGCTATTTCCTCTTTGGCTAGCATTAATAACTTTTAATAGATCACTTAAGCTTCTTTTGTCTTTTGGAGCATTTGTTTATTAAAGTGACTCGGGTATTATAGCTTCATTATAACTGGTGCTTAGGGCCGGGGATTTAGCTCAGTGGTTCTGCTTCCTGCCTTGCATCAAGGGCCCAAGTTTGATCCCCGGTACCAAAAAAACAAAACAAAACAAAAAAAAAAACTGGTGCTTAGAGGGCAGAGATGGAATAAATTAACGTGCTGGTCCTTGGAGTCAAGCTGAAGTTTCTTACACTTGAAAGGGTTTATGAGCTTTTATACAGTTAAGGTAATTATTTAACTGTACTGATTCTCTCTTTGAGACAGGGTCTTGCTCTGTAGTTCAAACTGGTCTTGAGCTACTGTGTAGCCCAGGCTACCCTTGAGCTCATAGAAATCCTCCTGCCTCAGCCTCCTGAGTGTGCCACCATGCCCGGCTTGTGCTATTTCTCCTAAGAAATATAATTTAGTTATTATTTGCTAGGGATACTCTAAATAGGAACATAAGCAGAGATCTCAGGAGCTAATAATGAGTTATGTGGCTTTCCTTGAGCATGTAAAGCACAGTAACAACTCACACCGATTGAGTGCTTACCTTGTGCCTGCCCTTACATTTGCCTTAGTTCGTGGCATCTCTTAACTCATTTCTGAGAAGAGTCTAGTGATACAGACATTATTGTTGCCATTCCGTTTCACAGAAGGCACTGATGTATTAAAGAAAAATTGGCCCACGTCATACAAATAGTAAGTGACTGATTCCAACCCAGGGCTGTGATAGGCTCCACAAGCCCCGACTGTAAATGTTTGTCCTTTGCTCCGTACTAATGGAATATTGGCTTCCCTTTCCCATCTCGTGACTGTTCACAAATGTACTTGGACATTGCAGTGGTTGAGAATTCCTTATCTTTTTTTCCATTAATTTTTAAAAATTCTTTTTCACCTTTTCTCTTGGTCTTCTGTTATCTTCTCTGCAGGTTGCTTCTTCAGTCCCTTTGTTTTCCTGGTTTGTAGTTTGTTTATTTGTTTATTGTTCGTTTGTTTGTTTGGAGACAGGGTCTCACTATGTAGTTGAGACTGACCTGGAACTCGGTACATAGCCCAAGCTGGTCGCGAACTCACAGCGATCCTCCCGCCTCAGCCTCACAATTGCTGGGATTATAGGTGTGCGCCACCATGCCCGGCTTTGTAATTTTTTTTTTAATGCAGAACTCCATGTGGTTTTTTTTCAGTGCATACAGGTCTTTTAGTACTTGTGTCACTGTTGCATTTGTATTTCCCCCTTTTATCAGCATGGCATTTTTATTATTTTCACTTAAGTTTCAGTTCTCTCTTAAGGAATCTCTTGGCTTTTTTTTTTTTTTTTTTGTCCTGGGGTTGAACTTGGGACTTTGCACTTGCAAGGCAGGTGGCAGAACCACTGAGCTAAATCCCTGGCCCTTGGACCTTTTTTGTTTGGGGGTGTACACCTCCATCCAGGGTGTCCATTGCTACCCCCTCAGTCTAGCCAATACACGTGCACCCAGAATTCCTTATGTTATGAAGTAGCCAACTCTTTTTTGGGTACCCAGGATTGAATTGTGGATCTTGCACTTGCAAAGTAGGCAGTGGCACCACTGAGCTAAATCCCTGGGCCCCAACTCTCAATGGATCTAAATTTTTGAGGGTTTTTTTTTTTCTTCGATGAAGCATGAATGTGTTTATATAATTATAATGATTAGTAAATAGTCTGACCAAAAAAACTCAAGGCATTTAGATATTACTTATATCTGATTATACAACCTTCTATCATTTTGTTTGAAACAAGGTCTTGCTGTGTTGTGTGGCCTAGGCTGGACTGTTTATCATAACCCTCCTGCCTCAGCCTTCCTGCCGAATGACCATTATTTTCTTTTATTGTTCGTTTTTTTGTTTGTTTATTTTGGTACCAGGGATTGAACTTGGGACCTTGTGCTTACAAGGCAGGGAGTGGAACCACTGAGCTAAGTCCCTGGCCCCTCTTTTATTTTTTTAATTGCTAACTTTTTATTGGTATATTTTTAAGTATGCAATATAATTACATTTGTCATTGAAAATTTGTGCCTTTACATAATTTATCTTGGGTGTTATTTTTTCCCTAATCCCCTGCCCTCCCTTCAATCACTCCACCCCTCCCTATTTACAAAGACTTTGTTTCCATTTTTTCATTTTCTCATATTCTATTACCTTCTTTCCTTTCCCCAATACCTCCCACTTCCCCTTCCCCTTTGGACCTTTTTTTGCCTATTTGACAATATCTGTTAGGCTTTTTGAGCCTTATTTACACTTTCAGTTTCTCACACCAGAGAAACTATTTGGTATTTATACATGTGAATGACCATTCTTGTGGTCTGTAGGATGAACACTTTTTGGTCTAGATTGCTTGAAGTCATGTTGTTGATGATATGTAGTATTTGAGTTGTGGTCTAGCCGTGACTCACTTCTCTGTATCTGTGGATTAGAGCTACACTAGCGGCACTTATATCTGTGTTGTTTCAGATGTCTCATCCTGTATCTGTATAGCCCAAGTTTCTGGCTCAATGCCATAAACCTGCATGGGGTCACATCAGTTAGTGATAGTTTATGATGGTCTTTGAGAAATTTTAAGAATTAGTTGAAAGTACAGTACCCACATTACTTCTGAGAGATAAATGGAGAATTAGCTAAGAGGTAAAGTAAAGGCAGAGCATCCTTAATTTGAAACTCTGAAATCAAAGTGTCAGAAAGCTTCAGATTGTGGGATATTTTAGGTTTTTGGATTAGGAGTGCTTAGTACAGTCAATGCAAATAGTCCAAACTGAAAAACTCAGAAATCCGAAACACTTCAGTTCCAAGCATTTTGCTTAAGGGAAACTCAGCTTGTGAGTCTAGATAGATTTTTTTTTTTGTCATTTTAAATCATTCCTTTTCTTTCTGGTTTTTTTTTTTGGGGGGTGTCTTTCTTTTGGAGACAGTGTCTAATTATGTAGTTGAGCCTGGCCTTGAACTCTGTGTAGCCCAGGTAGCCTCAAATTTGTGGCAATCCTCCTTCCTCTGCCTCCTGAGGACTGGGATTACAGATGTGCACCACTATGCCTGGCTAAATATCCCTCCTCTTGCTTGACTAAAACTTGTAAATAGTCTTAATATATGAATCAAATAATGTTTTTATAATTCTAATGGAATTTGTAGCTAATATGTCAAGTTTCTCTCCATGTGCTTTATTTTTATGTTATTTGTTCATTTACTTTTCAGGGGACGTTTACTGATGAGAAGTCGAAAGCTTCCCACCATATTTATCCATATCCTTCCTCACAAGAGGATGGTAAGTTAGCTTTTGTTGTGACTTGATAAAACTCATACACTGTATCATTGGACTTTTATATCATGTCAGAAGAGGTTAACTCAATATAGCTCACTTTTATTTTATTTTTAAATTTTACATATAGTTTTGGAGACTGGATCTCACTCTGTAGTCCAGGTTGGCCTTGAATTCACCATGTAGCCCATACTGGCCTTGAACTTGTGGTAATCCTCCTACCTTAGTCTTTGGAGTTTTGGGATTATAGGCATATACCATTATGCCCAACATTTTTTTTTACTTTGATTTTTAATATAGCCAGCTTTTTAAAAATGTCTTTTTTTTGGCTGGGGATTTAGCTCAGTGGCACTGTCCTGAGTTCAATCACTGATTACTGCCCCCACCCGTCTTTCCCGCCCCCAGACAGGGTCTCACTATGTAGTTCATACCAGCTTTGAACTCAGTGTGTAACCCAGGCTGGCCTCGAATTTGCAGCGATTCTCCTGCCTCAGTCTCCCAAATGTGGGATTATAGGTATGCACTACCACACTCAGCCCTAAAAGGTGACTTTTAATTACAATATTCTAGGAGGCTGAGGCAGGAGAATTGCCATACAAGGCCAGCTGAAGCAATTTAGTGAAATCCTGTCTCAAAATAAAATAAAGAAAATAAGCAAGATACCAAAAGTTGGCCAGTTGCTGCTTTAGTTCACAGTGCTTTTTTGATAGGCAAAAAATTAGAGGTGAGTGCCTGAGTCAAAGTGTATGACACCTGTCCAACCCCCTGCAAAGTCCTTAAAAAAACAAAACAATAAAGCAAAACAAAAGGTCTAGACATATGGCTCAATAGAAGGCCTTGTGTTTATACCCAGTTTTGGCGGGGTGGAAAAATGACTGTTGTGTATCAAAACTTTCCCAGTGCTGAGCTTACAGGTGTGTGCTGCCATACTCAGTTTAACTGGTATGTGTTTGTTTGTTTGTTTTGGTACTGGGATCAACTCAGGACCTTGTGTTTGCAAGGCAGTGCAGTGCAGTGCCGCTGTGCTAAATTTTGGCCGTTGTTTTTTTTTTTTCTTTTTTTTTTTTTTTCTGGAGACAGGGTCTGGCTGTGTGGTTTAGGGTGGTTTTGAGCTCATTATGTAGCCCAGGCTGGTCTTGATCCCATGGCGATCCTCCTGCTGAGGACTTGGTGCTGACTTGGTGCTAACCACTGTTTCACAGGACTGAGCTGGAATATGTAGCATAGATCAATTTAGACTGAAAAATAGACCTTAAAGGATACAACCGTTAAGTCTTCTGGCAAGCACATTCTCCCTACCGGATATGAGAAGCCTGATTATAATATCAGGTTCAAGTGACAGATGAGCCCAAGGGTGATATGCTTTTGTTGACCATTGTAATTATGCTGCGAGTATACTTGAAAATTAAGAAATACTGTGTGTTAAAGAACCCGTCAGTCAAAAAAGAAAATTACAAAGAAAATAGAAAATCTTTGAGGCTGAATAATAATAAAAATGAACAGTGAAATCTAGCATTAGGTTTTATAAGGTACAGTGAAAAAGCTGTGCCTAGAGGGGCATTTATATGCATATAGTAGGAATGAAAAAGAGCTCAACAATCAGTGTCCTAAACACTTTGTCAAGCAGTCAGAGAAAATAGCAAATTAGTTGTGAAGAAGAAATATATATTATAAAGAAAACAAATTAATGAATTAAAAAATATATGAACATGAGATGCTTAGCAGTGTGCAGTAGTTCTTAGAAAAGACCAGTAAAGTCAGAGGAGAGAAAAATGGAAGAACAAGTGTGATGAGCCAGGAATGAAAGAAGGGAACACAGAAGATGGATGTGAGGCATGAGGGAGTGAGCCACACAGTGTGACCATTGTGTGGCAGTCAAAGTGTGTGTTGATAGCAATTTTAGAAAATGCTCCCTAACCCTTGTTCTGTAAAGTGCGCGATGCCTCGTGCTGCTTGGAGCAGTCGCAGTTAATTATGTTTTCCCCATTCCTCCTGCTAGGTATTAGCAGCTGGTTTCCACTAGATGGAGGTGGTGGACAGCTGTGTGTGTTAGAATACTGGTTTCGTTGCTTACTCTCTGTCTCCTAAATAATAGAAAAATCTCAGTGTTAGGATTAGGAACTTTTGGGGTGTGGGGTGCTGATGATTGAACCAAGGGCCCTTCATGGATTCACTGACCCATACCCCTTGCCCTGTGTTGTGAACTTTTCCTTTCTTTGTGTTCTGTGTTGTTGTTGTTGTTGTTGATAGTCTCACTAATTTTCTCAGGCTGGCCTTGAACTTGCAGTGCCCCTGCCACAGCCTGCAGAGTACCTGGGGTTGGAGGCCTGGGATTCTTCATTCTATTAGTGTGGTACATTAATTTGTTTTCATATATTGAGGCAACATTGTATCTAGGTATAAATCCCATGGTGTGGAATTGCTTTATTTTTTATTTGAAATTTTTTTTGAGGGCTGAGGATTTAGCTCTGGTTTTGCTGCCTGCCTTACAAGTGCAAGGTCCTGAGTTTGAGCCCCAGTACCAAAAAAAAATTTTTTTTTGAGACAGGGTCTTGCCATGCTGCTCAGGTTGTTCTTAATCTCATGTGCTCAAAGACAGGAGCTTCAGCCTCCTGCATGTTGAGACTACAGGTGCCTATCACCAGTCCTAACTCGATAATCCTCTGTGTGCCTCCTGCATGTTGAGACTACAGGTGCCTATCACCAGTCCTAACTCGATAATCCTCTGTGTGTGTGTGTGTGTGTGTGTGTGTGTGTGTGTGTGTGTGTGTGGTGGTACTGGGTTTCTCTTTTTGAGGGGAGCACTGCGGATCGAACTCAGGACTGTGCACTTGCGAGGCAGGTGGTGGAACCACTGAGCTAAAGCCCTGGCCCTTTTTTGTGGTACTGGGGATCAAACTCAGGACATTGTGCTTGTGAGGCAGGCATGGTGCCACTTATCTAAATCCTTGGCCCGATAATCTTTTTTTTGTGTGTGTGGGGGCGGTTGAGACAGGGTCTCACTATGTAGTTGAGACTGACCTGGAACTCAGTATGTAGCCCAGGCTGGTCTCGAGCTCAAGTGATCCTCCTGCCTCAGCCTCCCGAGTGCTGGGATTACAGGTGTGCACCACCACGGCCAGCTCCGATAATCTTTTTAATATATTGTTGAATTCACTTTAATATTTAATATATCAGGAGTACATATTTTTATCTGTATTTTTTGTGTAATATCTTTGGTTTTGGTCTCTCTGGAAGGTGTTTGATAATACTTTTTCCTCTTCAGTTTTTAGAAGAGTTTGAGAAGGATTATTAATTTCTATTTTATTATATGTTTGTTACAATTTTCCAGGGAAGCCATTTGGCTTTGTGCTTTTCTTGATTGGAAATTTTTAAAGTGACTGTTTGAGTCCGCATACTAGTTATGGGTATAAGCATATTTTGTTCCTGATTCAGTCTGGGAAGTTTATATTGTTCGAGAAATTTATTCATTCTAGAATGTTTTTTTGTTGTTGTTTTGATTTGGGTTTTTTGTTTTGTTTTGTTTTTGGCATAGAATTTATTACAGTAACTTCTCGCGATCCTCATTTTTTTTCTTTTTTCCCCCTTTTGGTACTGGGAATTGACCCTGGAGCCTCATGTATGCTGGGCAAGCCATCTTGTTGCTAAGCTGCATCCCCAGGCCTTTTTCTGTAGTTTGCCCAGGCTGGTCTCAAACTTGGGGTCATCTTGCCCCAGCCTCCTGGCTGGGGTTACAGGCGTGCACCACAGTGCCTGGCTGAGCCTTTTCCTGTGGCTTTAGTTGTACTTTCTCCTCTCTCATTTCTGACTTGTGTTAATTTTCATTGTCTGTTCTTCTAGTCATTATAGCTAAAAAAGGGCTTGTCATTTTTGTTGATCTTTTCAACACCCTCTTAATTTTGTTAGTTTTTTATTCTTTGTTTCTGCTCAGTCTTGATTATTTCTTTCCTTATGCTAAGTTGGGTTGAGTTTGTTTTTCTGGCCCCTTAGTAAGATGTTGACCTGAGATCTGGTTTTTCTTTTCTAATTTTAGTATATGTGCTGCCGAAGTGAGCACTGTTTTTTCTAATGTGTTTACTGCTGTTAAACTTCCCTTCTAGTACTACTTTTCCTGTATCCTATATATTTTTGTTGTTTTCATTTAACTCAAGAATTTTTCTAATTTCCTTTGTGATTTTGGCTTTGACCCTTTCTTCTTCAAGAGTGTCCTTTTAGTTACTTTTTTCCCAAAGTGTCTTAATTTCCATCTATTTGTCAATTTTCCAGTTTCTTTTTTGCTGTTAATTTTTGATGTCATTCCATTACTGTCAGAAAACACAGTTGGTAGGATTTAAACCTTGTATTTAGTAAGTTGTTTTGGGCTGGACGTGGTGGTGCACACCTGTAATCCCAGCACTTGGGAGGCTGAGGCAGGAGGATAACTGCAAGTTCAAGACCAGCCTGGGCTACACAGTGAGTTCCAGAGCAGTCTGAAGTAGTGAGACCCAGTCTCAAAAAACCCAAAAAAAAAAAAAAAAAAA